ATCAAAGGTCTTAGTTAAATCAAGTATCTTGTGATTTACTGCACAGACAGTGATGAACCAAACGCAGGTAACACCCTTCAATTAAGGCTCAAAAGGACCGACTTCGCTCCTTTATAGCTGAATCCAAATCTGATAGGGAAGAAAAAGTGACTCAGCAGAGACGGTGTGGATAAGGCGGCTTCAATGTGCACAGAGCTTACGCCAGCCAATACAACAAGTCGAGACAGTCAGAGATTTTCGTGGACAATGAGAGTGAGTAAAAGAGTGATGATTAATCAAGGAAGTGACTCTGTTCCCACTTCACTTCTGCTTCTGAGAACTGGGAGAAACCTTGCAGTACCAAACCTAACGAGTCCTCTCAAACTAATTCGATATCAGCCAATGTCCAGGGACGTGTAGCCAACAGGTCTTAAGTGTGAATGAAGAATATTCGTGACGTTGGTATGTAAATGGAATTGAGACCTTTTAAATCAACAATGGAAGAAGTAGTGCGGCCAGCCAAAAATCTTTATTGCCAAGGTGCCGCTCAAGACCGGCATTCATCTGCGTTCACATCTCCGGTGGTCTCATAGCTGCAGGACACAGCAGCAATTAAGAGTTGAAGCCAAAAGAGTACACCTTTAAAAATGCACTGCCTCCCTTTGTTACATTAGCACAAAAAAATCATTTAAGGTCTGGGATGGCGAATCACCCAACGTGTGGAGATGTTCAGGCGGAGCAAAATGATGTGATGAACCCAAAACAAAACACCAAAAATTTACTCACTAAATATAGAGTGGAAGCAAAACTGCCAGATCAGTTGCCATGAAAAGAGAATCAAGAACAGATGTAAAATCACATCCTCCACTAAATTCGTTTCAGAGACAGAAGAGTTTTTTGACCTTAAAATATGCCTAGCCCTAAATTTAACTTGGAAAAAGGTCTTTTCAATGGCTTCAAGCCAAGGGTGAGAGACAATGTTGTCTTTAAGGCCCATCAAAGCACCTAGACCGAACCCTCCATTTTAAAGGTCAGCATGTAACCGCCATGACTACACCGATCAACCGTTCTTGATAGTTCAAGACTTTATCATACACCCCCCAAACATGTTGGAAACGTGTTTTTAATTCTTCACCGGAAAGACAACTTTGCATAACTTCTTTATCTTCAACTGTACCTTGAACAGAGTTAAAATGTTTACCTCTTGACACCATTTCAGACTTCTAGTACAAAACAAGCAAAAGGTTGAAGTTCCTTTTACACCAAGGCAGTGGAACCAAAGCGCCCCACTGACAGACTCACTACCGGAGTTACGCATGTATACGGCGTATCACAGATTCGGTGTCATACATGTGCACCACGTCTCCCTGCCTCTGTTTACACAACTGATTGCAAAAACAACCCGGTCACAGATAGGTTTGTTGAATTTGGAACACTTACACAGAAGTAGAACTTCTATGAAATATGGTCCACACCTTTACGTGGTTCACTTAGCTCAGAGCCTTGGCAACCTACGTGTCAGACTTGAAGGTGCGGATACGTAACTGACGGCATGAGGATTAGATTGGACGTACATCACTTTTTGCAACTAATTCAATCACAAACAAGGATCGGGCGAATGACCCACAATAAGTATTTTCAAACCTTGAAAGTGCATTTTAGATTATGCAAAGAACGTCAAATCAGTGTTATTAAACGATATGAAACTTGCTCATTTCTTATACCTTGCAAGACTCCAGTTGATTTTGAGAAGGGCTGGGCTCAAAAGCATGCTGTGAAGTGACGTGTGGAAGGTGTAATGGCAAGACAAATGAAGATGACCGTACTACACAACCGGAAATTATCTCTTAGTAAATTCAAATAGATTAGATACGAATCATCGACTTCAACAATCGAAAGCGGTGGCATGAAAGTATTTCTTATGGAGTGTCAGTTATTCAAAAGCTGCTAATTAATGGCATTTCTATTTTAAGATGTCTAGCTAGTCACCCACAATTGTCCGAAAAAATAAAGCCCATGGATAAGAGGCGAAGTGGTAAAGTGGTGACTCAAGTCTCACGAAAAAACTTCTGAGTAAAGTGCTTTTACACAACATTAAGAGAAAAAAGGGTGAGCCTACCTGAACCTCATTCCAATTCTGCCTCTCCTCGTTAAGGATGTTCAACGTGAGGAGAGGTGTCTGAGGAACCGACTTGTGACGAACAAGCCATGGGTGCAACATGACTTGCTCAATTGTCAATCGTTGTTGCGGTTGTACAATCAATAAACGATTTATCAAGTCTTTTGCTACAAACCAGAAAAGGTTGAACTTGTAGGATATGCAAATAGGAAAAGAAACAAGACTCGAGGGTTTAAGACGGCAGAAGCGTGACACTAATGATCCATCATCTTAGTTTTTTCTCAATACCTCGACAACAAATGGTATCTCAATTTTCATGAATGCCAAATCAGGAGTTGGAAGATTGGGCTTATTAGATCCAACGCCCATTAATTGATAACTACGGCAAAGCATTCATTCTTTGAAAACTTCGAAAAATATTTTCCAGCAATTGGCCAAAAAAACATAAAATGCTCTTCTACCTTCTACCATATCTTTAATTAATAGAGTAAATTCTAAGAAATGGAGCAATCAAAATGGCGCCAGAGAGGAGGTAGGGGAGAGAAAACTTCAGCCACTTACACTCAGATTCGGAGTTAAAGATTATTTACGTCGGAAAATATTAGACAATGTTTGACCAAGACTAGAATGCTTGAAACCACAACATGGTACATTGAATTCGCTATCAGTTGCATGATGATACCAGGTGAAAATGGATGATGTCTCATCGCCGCCATGTAATAAAAATGGTTGTAACGCATACCGTCTTGAGAAACTGCACTCCACTCGTTGGGTGGATAGGTGTAGTGTCCGTTTCTAATGCGGGATTTCATTCCAGGCGAGAAGGGATCCCCACCTTGACTATAGAAGGGAGGATAACCGCACAGCCTACAGAAAAGTGAGGTATAATAACATGGCATACAGGATGTATGTGATGACACCAAGGGACCACATGTCGCACTGCTGGTCATATGCAGCGGGACCCAAGACTTCAGGAGCTGCGGAAAATGGATATATCATCGAAGCTCAACAAACATACCAACATAGTAAGGAGTAAAACAAGGAGACTGAAGAAACGTTCCTTTAGAGGTCTCCTTAGCAAATCCAAAGTCTGTCAATTTTAACGTTGCATCCGGGGCATCTGAAGTAAACAGCAGATTTTCTGGCTGCATCCAAAGTAAAAACTATTTTAAACATACCTTAAGATCGCGATGAGCAATGTTCCTTCCGTGAAGACATTTTATAGCAGTGGCAATTTGGTAAACTATACGGGCTGCATCTAAATGAAGAAATAAAAGCAGCAAAACAATTGCAAACCATTTTCCGTGAACCCGTTTCGATGCCTTTGCTGGATACGGTTAAAGAGTTCACCGCCCTCCATGCATTCCATGACAATGAGTAGATGATTACGCCCAGAGTTAGTGTTGTTATTTTCAAAAATATCCACTAATCTGACGATATTCTCACAATCACTGACACGATAGTGTAGCTCAACCTCCCGACAGGCCTTCTCATCATCGCCAAGAACCTGTCAATCGAGCTATATAAAGAAGTTCAACAAACTTTAAGTGCATAAGGTTTTCCGGTAGCCTTGTGAATGCACTTGAGAACCTTCCCATTAATTCCACTACCAAGACATGTTTGAGTTATTTCATATTCGTGAGTGATAGCGGATGTTTTTATTGGAAAACTGTAGCCAACCATTTTGGGAAGCATAACCACCTAAGGCTGAACAAAAAGTCGTGATACTAAAGGTTTATGAGAAAGGGCTAGACCGGCGCATAACAAGGACCAATCAAAGCATTATATTAATGTGTGAGCTCAATAAATCTAAAAAGGCACATTAAAATCTTATCATTTTATAAAGCCCCAAAAAACAAAAAGAACCAAGCGTTGCTGCACAGCCATATGGAAATCATTGCCATGATTTATACCAAATCGGTTTTAATTGACTCAGGGAACTAAATGAGTAAACATAATTAAATCGGACATTTTGGATGTAATTGTAGAGCCCGCCTACCCATCCTCATGTCCCAACGACTTGGACTCTATGAAATGATTGGTTAAGGAAAAGTTATTTAGCATTATGCAGGAAAAAAGGTAAATGGAGGGGACGCTAAGCCGATGTGAGCCTAAAGATGTCTCTTCGCATTCCTAAGGCGCAGGATTCACTTTCGAATTGCTTAATCTCTCCTTTTTTATGAGGTTAAGCTAATAACATCAGTATGCAATACAATATTGTCTCTTCACCTTCCCTTGGGCAATTAAAGGCAGTTCCCATATTTAGAGGAAGGAGAATTGTTTTGACTACTTGAACTCTGAGCTAGCTCACCCAGACAAGAGCAAAATAAATTCCATAATGCTAGCCAGATGCGTTAATAATAAAATAAACAAGTCTAACACTTCGTTTGCGACCACCTGATGTTTGGCGGTTATGCCTGTAATGCTTTGTTTACGCGACTATCTGACGTTTGGCGGTCACTTAAGGACTTGTCTGGGCCCTATACACGTGAGTTTGCCTTCGGACCACGCTCAGGCCCCATTTCTCCTATTGCTTTCGGAATACATGTATTCAACCCCACTTATGC